TCACTAAGAAATGTGTATGAACATTGTTAGAAAAATACAGGTTCATTATGAAAAGTATATTACAAATCTCGCCCATATTCTATTAAAGAAAGGTAACGACTTTAGCCTAACGTCTAATCTGATACAGCTCCGGCTACACGTCTTTAACTTCACATTCACAGATAAGATAGCGAGTGTTTCTGGAATGAATCCTTTTTTACAATATCAGTAGCTCAAGAGAAATTAACACGATAAAAAAAAAGCCAATGAAATGGATGAATCTCTAACCAAACTTAAGATTTGAAAAACTATAATCTATATACTTCATACAATAAGCATTCATAATATCCATAATTTTTTTTCTCAATAAATGAAAATGGGTGCAGTCAACTACAGGTGGCGTATCTTTATTCTTCCATTTTATTATTATTTTTCTAAATAGCTGACACAATACCAACTGTGGGTGAAGGAACTAAAACATCAGTTGCTGTGATGTATTTATCTATCAGTCGTAAAACTTTATCATTTATAGTTTTGTATTTCATAAAAACTTGTGGTCAGCATGCTGGGCTGCGGATATGAGGATGACGGAGGGTCCATAGATCGCGCCCGTTATCCCAACCCAAGAAAAGAAAATTCACGGCATACTTCGAGTTTGCTCGTGCATTATAAGAATGCCAATCAGTTACCAATATTCGATTAGGATAGTCCAAGAGTTAGTGATGAGTGCTGTTAACTAGCTGTCTTCCGTCTGTCTTCCGTCTAGTGTATCATTTTAAAATTAGAACGGATTGCTAGATAGCTCTCTGTAGTAATGTGCGAATATCTAAATCCATAAATCATTCAATCAGTGGTAGTATTCTTAAATTTATGGTTTTAGTTGTAGCTGCAGAGTCTCTTTTCTTACACTAGTGAGAACAGTTAAGTTGGTAGCCATAGCAAGTGTGTGATAATTATATCAGTTTATATAAATTAGCTTATTAGCTATTCATTGTTAGTCATCTGTTACAATAATTGACCAATGGAATGCTTAATGAAATGAAACGGGTAATAAAGATTTGCCAAAATTATAATATCACAATATTAACGTAATGTGTTAAACATGTGTTAAATGGTATAGAAACGCGGATTGTATTAAGTCCTTATTAGGGCGTTTCTAGAAAGTTCGATATCTTCACTTATTTATATATAAAAATTTCTCAAAACTCTATTTTATTTTCATGTAAACCCTGTTTCTTGCAAAGCCCACCATGGGCTGTCTATTATGTCCATCGTAGGGATAGAACTTAAACATTTAACATTATTAATCTATTAACCCGACCTACGGACAAGGGTGGAGTGGGGCTAAGCTGGACATATTATACGTCAACACCAACTTATTGATTGTACCCATAGCAATAACTGTACTAATGAACTGCAGCGCCACCTTTAGTGAGTAATATTCCGTAAAAATTAAGAAGCAGTTGCATAAAAAGTTAGGCCATGTTATTCAATAATGGTTTTTGTCGGTTCAAAGTATGTATTGTTAAAAAAAACTTTGGAATTTAATAACTAAATAGGATTGTTTTTGAAATTGAGATAAACGACATAGACGACAAAGGGGTGCTAGAAGGAAGATGGCAAGAGCCTTATGACGATGGTGTTGCACCTTGGATGTGGACTGGAAGTTCTGCCATCTTGGAACAATACCTGAAAACTGGAGGAGTTCCAGTGAAATATGGACAGTGTTGGGTGTTTGCTGGAGTATCAAACACTGGTATGTAAAAAATCTAACAGATTTCAAGAGAAGTGTGTGTAAAGTTAAAATATATCGTAAATGAACGCAAAACAAATTTCGTTCGCGAAAAATTACTTGTGTAAATATTGTGAGTGATTGTAGCAATATAAGCACACATTTTTCAATTGTCTGAATACATTTTTGTCGTATGATGTTACCAGTTCACGAGTATCAAAATGGTTCTTCGTGGGATGTAGTTTTTAAAAATATTTTTATGCTGTGTTTGACTTTTATTCTATGTCATAAAAATTATTCAATTTTCTGGTATTACGAGTTTTGTAGATTGTATAAAATGCAACACGAAGATTGGTCATCAACCAACAATTTTGTTGTTGTTTCATTAGCACACTATAATTGTGTTGAATTTAACTTGAACTTGTGCTGTTGCCATTCAAACATCTAACAGAACAGAAGTTGTTTGCGACACAAGTTTGCTTCTTACTGTGTCAAAGCATTTCAAATCGATGAAATGCATTTCGTTCATCAGTTTTACTTATTAGAATGACTTTTGTAATTTTTTTTTTGACAAAAACAATTTACAGGAATAATTTTTTAACAGAATTTTTAAATATTGTTACCGTTCGTTAGAATAAATCACTTTTTATTAGCTTCAATCAATTGTGTAAACTCGTGGACTACAAATATATCAAAATAGAAATGTGAGCGTTAATTCGAGCTTGTGTGGAATTAAAACTCATCTCTAACTCTTCATTATGAAACCAGTTTGTCATGGAGCTCTACAATACGGTTATAAGTACTTAACAATTATCTTTACAGAATTGTTTGTTTATTTGTAATTAAGCACAAAGCTTCACAGTGGGCTATCTGTGCTCTGCCCACCACGGGTATCGAAACCCGGATTCTAGCGTTGTAAGTCCGCAGACATACCGCTGTGCCACTGGGGGCATCTTTACAGAAGAGTTCAATTATATTTTATTTTCAGTGACATTCTGATGTTATAAGTTCGTAATTTGGGTAAACTTGAATACATTTCATACTCTATGAAACAAGAATATAACACAATTAACCGTAAAAGGATGGTTAATTATTCCGTAACTAATGTTGACCTGGTGCGAGTTTGAAAAATTACCACACAGACACATTCAAATATATTTAGAAATTATAACAAGTTATAATATCTACTGCAGTTTGTTCATACCATGATTTAAATTAATTATTTTCACCCTACTTCAAACGATAATCTGACACGGAAATCTGAAGAATCAAATTACTTAAACAGGGAACACTTTCTAAAAGGATATCAAAAAAACAAGCGCTTCTAGAGATATCAGTGTTTAGAATCAAGTTAGCTTAACTTGAATATCTCTAACGAAGTAACTGTGTAATAATGTATTCAGATTTAATCGTTTTCCTAAGCGATATATTTACAGAACATAATGAAACGGTATGGTGTCAGTCCCTCGATCGAATATTTTACCGATACAAGTTTTATGAAATTTCGTTGTAGTGTGTCGAGCCTTGGGCCTACCCAGCAGGACTGTAACGAACTTTGTATCAGCCCATGACACAGATGAAACCTTGACTATTGATAAATGGTTTGACAAAAACGGGGATAAAATTGAAGATGCCACGAGTGATTCAATTTGGTAAACTTCTGTATTTGATAACTTTAATGTAGTAATTACCTGTAATGTAAAACTGTTTGTGATTTGTTGAGAGCTTTCGCAAAACTATTCTATTGCCTGAACTTTCCTTTGTTTCAATTTTAGATGAAAATAAATGTTATTATTTATGTATCATAATAAACTTGTTACCCCATAAAAAAAAAAAAAAAAAAAAAAAAA